GGGGGGGTTAAAAGACAAAAAAGAGAGGAAAAGGAGCCCAAAACATGGTGAAGCAGAAATTAAAAAAGATATAGAGAAGCTCTGGCCTTCGTGGGTGGCCCTGGAGGTTGGTCAACTGGAGGATCCCAAGGGAGAAGGAGCTGGATTTAGTGCTGGAAGGTGCCGAGGGACGTGGTCCCCGTCGCTGGCTCCGTCTTCTCCTCTTGGCTCCCATCCCTGGGGGGGGGGGGGGGGGAGTCCCCCCCTTTTTGCTTTTGGTGGTGGCACCTTTGGGTGTCCCCTGGGTGTCAACCACCCCCCTTGCTGGGTGTCAAGCACCCCCCTTGCTCTTCAGAAGCCGTTGCCACTGATGTTGATGGACTGCAGGTCGGCCACTTGCATGACGTTGATGCCGCTGCTGGCCAAGCGGGCGATGCCCTCGGGGCAAATGGCTTCCATGGCCACCATGTTGGTGGCAATGAGGGCAGAAGGGGTGGCCCCACCGTTGCCATCCCCTGAAGCCCCCGTGTCCATGGGGACGTTCATGGTCACGTTGGTGGCCGTGCCTCCCTTCTTGTTCTGGTGGGTCTTGATGTGCTTGGAGAGGTGGTCGCTTCTCATGAAGCGTTTGGGACATTCTGGGAAAACAAATTTCTTCTCACCTGGGGGGAGGGGGGACATTGTTTGAGAGGGGAGGGGGCACTGAGATGAATTCATGGACTTATAGAGTCATGGGGGGGTCCTATCCCTCCTGCCCTTGGCCCAAGTCCCTCCCCAGCTTTCCTGGAGCCCCTTCAGGCACTGGAAGCTGCTCTAAGGTCTCCCTGGAGCTTCTCCTCTCCAGGCTGGACACCCCAACTCTCCCAGCCTGGCTCCAGAGCTGCTCCAGCCCTCCCAGCATCTCCGGGGCCTCCTCTGGCCTCTCTCCAACAGCTCCGTGTCCTCCATGTGTTGAGGACTCCAGAGCTGGTCCCAGCACAACCCGGTGGGTGGAAAAACCCCAGAGTGTCCCAATACAGGGGAGAGGGTAGAGAAGGACAAGAGGGTGACACTTGGACCTCATCCCCTGCTGTGTCACTGTAGGGAATTCCAGACTGGTTTGGGTTGGAGGGACCTTCAAGACCATCTAGAGCCCCCCCCCGGCCTGGGCAGGGACACCTCCCACCAGCCCAGGCTGCTCCAGCCCCAGCCAACCTGCCCTTCAACACCCCCAGGGATGGGGCAGCCACAGCTTCCCTGGCCCAGGCTCTCCCCACCCTCCCAGCCAACAAGTTCCTCCTCAGCTCCAACCTCCAGCTCCCCACTGCCACTTTCAAGCCCTTCCCCCTCAGCCCATCCCTCCTGCCCTTGGCCCAAGTCCCTCCCCAGCTTTCCTGGAGCCCCTTCAGGCACTGGAAGCTGCTCTAAGGTCTCCCTGGAGCCTTCTCCTCTCCAGGCTGGACACCCCAACTCTCCCAGCCTGTCCCCATGGCTGAGGTGCTCCAGCCCTTGGATCAAGCAGCTCTCCAACCCCCCCAGGAAGGTGCAGGTCCCTGGGGGGAGCAGCACCCTGAGCTCCTCACCCGTGTGCGTGCGCTTGTGCCGCTGCAGCTCGTCGCTCCGGGTGAAGCGTTTCCCGCAGAGGATCCAGGTGCAGACGAAGGGTCTTTCCCCCGTGTGCCACCTCAGGTGGGCCCTCAGGTGGGAGGTCTTGCCATAGACCTTCCCACAACCCGGGATGTGGCAGATGTGTTGCTTTTTTTTCCCTGGATCCCCAGAGCTTCTGAAAAGAGGTCAAAGGGAAGTGGTTAAAACCGACCTGAAAGTTCCAGGTGACTTGGAGGGAGTCATGGAAACATGGGTTGGGTTGGAGGGACCTTGAAGATCATCTAGATCCATCCCCTGCATGGGCAGGGACACCTCCCACCAGCCCAGGCTGCTCCAAGCCCCTTAGTAGAAACCTGGAACACTTCAGGGATGGGGCAGCACCTTGAAGATCACCTAGTGGGATCATCTGGGTGGGCTTGAAGATCCCTTCCAACCCAAACCATCCCATCAGCTAAAGACCATCTAGATCCACCCCCTGCATGGGCAGGGACACCTCCCACCAGCCCAGGCTGCTCCAGCCCCAGCCAACCTGCCCTTCAACACCCCCAGGGATGGGGCAGCCACAGCTTCCCTGGCCCAGGCTCTCCCCACCCTCCCAGCCAACAAGTTCCTCCTCAGCTCCAACCTCCAGCTCCCCACTGCCACTTTCAAGCCCTTCCCCCTCAGCCCATCCCTCCTGCCCTTGGCCCAAGTCCCTCCCCAGCTTTCCTGGAGCCCCTTCAGGCACTGGAAGCTGCTCTAAGGTCTCCCTGGAGCCTTCTCCTCTCCAGGCTGGACACCCCAACTCTCCCAGCCTGGCTCCAGAGCTGCTCCAGCCCTCCCAGCATCTCCGTGGCTCCTCTGGCCTCTCTCCAACAGCTCCGTGTCCTCCCTGTGCTGGGGGCTCCAGAACTGGACCCAGCACATTCCACAACTGGATCAACCAACAGAACGGGGCTCAAGGAGGCACTTGGGAGGGTTGAGGAGGCTCCTGGGGTGGGAGATGGTGGAGCAGCCTCACCTTCCCTCGCTGTCCTTGCAGTAGGGGCAGGTACACGCTTCCCGCCGCGTCTTCCGGCCCTGCTGGGGCTGAGGGTCTGGGCTGGTGTCTCCTTCCTCCACAGCCGTGTTCTCATCTCCCAACCCATCTCCACTCGTCCCGTGGAGACCCAGTTGAGTCCCGTGGTCACCTGGAAGAAACCACAGGAGGTCACTGAAGGTCCCTCCACAGGAACATCCAGAGGGGAAACGAGGGACCTTTCCCAGCCGGGTCTCAGCTTGATGGAGCCGTTATCAGGGGCACCTCCAGCAGGTCCCCCAGGATCCAGCTGGGGCTGGGATGGCTCCAGAGAAGGAGAATCCACCACCTCTCTGGGCAGCCTGGCCCAGGGCTCTGCCACCCTCACAGCAACAGGTTCCTGCTCATGCTCAGCTGGAACCTCCCGTGCTCCAGGTTGTCCCACTGCCCTTTGTCCTGCCCCTGGGACATGCTGTGATTTGGCTGCTGGAGGTTGGACACATTTTGCAGCATCTCCAGAGGGTTCCCAGCCCCCCTGGTGTTGCTCCCACACCTTGGGAGAACAATCCTGCTTCCCAAGGGAGTGGGGGAGGCTGGTGGTGCTGTGCTGAGCACCCTGGAAACCCAAACCCAGGTATTGAGAGTCATGGGATGGGTTAGAGGGACCTCAAAGACAATCTAGATCCACCCCCTGCACAGGCAGGGACACCTCCCACCAGCCCAGGCTGCTCCAAGCCCCATCCAACCTGCCCTTCAACCATGCCAGGGATGGGGCAGCCACAGCTTCTCTGGTCCAAATCTTCTCCCTCAGCTTCCCACAGGCTCCTGTGTCTCCAAGCCCTTCCATTCCCACCCCAAACCTTCTCCAGAACCCTTTGCTCTCCACACCCTCAGCAAACCCAAGGATCTCCCAAACATTTTGCTCCACACCCTCCAGTTTGTGGCCAGAGGAGCAGTAAGAGCCACATCTCCCAGGAGAAACATCATCCCCACCATGTCCCTCCAACCACCTGCCAAATATTTCAGCTACTCCAGCTAAACCAGAACAGAAAACAAGAGGAAAAATGTCAACGTTGCAGAGTTGGGAGAGAAACCAAGAGTCAAAACATCACCCAAGGGAAGCTCAAGATCCTCCCAGTCCCACCTGGCCACCCAGCTCCCCTTGCCCACCTTGGGTTTTTGGGCTGGAAGAGGCACTTTTTCCCTTTCCAAACACCTTTCCTGAGGAAAGGAACCATCTAAGGAGCAGCTTGGAACCTTCCTACCAACCAGATTCTCCTCCAAGATCAAAAAAGAGGGATAAACCAAGAGGACTGGAAGAGCAGGGTCTTCAGCAACGTCCACCAGGGATGGTCCAACACCAGGTGCTTGGTGCTTAATTATTGGGATTCCACAAAGGGAGATGAAGCTAAAAAAAGGACCTTAAATCCCTCCTTTCTGGAGGAACAATTCCCAACGATCCATAGGAACCTCCCAAATGCAGATAAACACCAACCATGGGTCTGGGGAAGGTTTCAAACCCACCAGTTTCCATCACTGCTGATTCCTTCTCCAAAAAGTCAATTTCTACCTCAAAAGGAGTTTCTTTCCCTCCCAGTTTGATCCTTTCCAGACTGGGAAGAGCAGAGCTCAGTGTCCCCTTCCAGCTGCAATTCCCAGATGCCAACGGGTCTGGTGGGCAGATCAAGAGCTGAGATGTTTCCACCAGGAAGCATCAGGATCCTTGGCTGGGCTTCCTGCCCCAAATCCACCTTTTTCCTCCCAAATTCCTCCCAAGCAGAAATCACTGAACCACAGGGGTTGGAAAGGAGCTCTGAAGACCATCAAGTCCAACCCCCCTGCTGCAGCAGGAACACCCAGGGCAGGTCACACAGGAACCAGATGGGTCTTGGAAGCCTCCAGAGAAGGAGGCTCCACAGCCTCTCTGGGCAGCCTGGCCCAGGGCTCTGTCACCCTCACAGGGAAGAAGTTTCTCCTCATGTTGAGGTGGAACTTCCTGTGTTGTCACTTGGTGCCATTTCCCCTCGTCCTGTCACAGCCACCACTGAACACAGACTGGCCCATTCTTGATGCCCACCCTGCAGATGTTTATAGACATTCATCAAGTCCCCTCTTAGTCTTCTCTTCTCCAGACTGAACAGCCCCAGGTCTCTCAGCTTTTCCTCTTCAGATGTTCCAGCCCCTTCATCATCCTTGTGGCCTCTGTTGGGACTCTCTCCAGTAGATCCCTGTCCCTCTTGAACTGGGGAGCCCAGAATTGGACACAACCCTTCAGATGTGGACCCACCAGGGTAGAAGAACCTCCCTGGACCTGCTGCCCACGTTGTTCTTCCTACACCCCATTGGTTCCCTTGGCCACCAGGACACATTCCTACCCCATGGATCACCAGGACCCCAAGGTCCTTCTCCATGGGACTGCTTTGCCAGGCTTGAGATCCCTGCTTGGATCTGGTGGTGGTTGGAAAGTGGAGCCACAGAAGGTGCAGATCCACAGGTTTGGCCCCAACAGCAAACGCCACCTCTGGTTCCTGGGATCTTCTGCTGGGAGAGGAGGAGATGGTTTTTTCCCAAAAAAACACCCATCTGAGGTTTTTTCCTGGTGCTGGTTTTCAGCAGCTGCCCAAGAGGCTCCAGTGAGGAGGAGTTAATGGGAAGGATGGTGCCAACCAGCCCTGCCAAAGGCTGGTGGGGACGTTGGGATGGTGAGGGACATCAGGATGTGAGGGACGTTGGGGTGCCCTGGGAGATGCTGCTTCACTGCTTCCATCTCTTCCCAGTACCTTGGAAGCACCTTCTTAAATGAGGAGCACAAAACTGGGCTTCCCAAAGTCAGCATTCCCAAGATCCAGCCCATGGTCCTGCTCGTGGTGTCCTCCAGAGCCAGGAGAACGAAGCCACCTCCTTGATATGGGGCCCAAGATGTTGCCACCACCTTTTGAGAAACCCTGAGGGGTCAAAGTCCCTTCAGCAAAGGGATGAAATTTGCTTCCAAATCCTGGTTTTCCATGAAACATCTTCTAGGAGGAGGCAGCACATGGAGAATCCACAGGAGAGGAGGTGGGGAAGGATGAACTTCAGCATTCCAGAAGGTCCCTCAGCCCCACGCTGGGCTCTTCTCCTGCAGCCAGGAGGGAATTTCACAACCCAGAGTCAGGGAGGAGGGAATGAAGAGGAGTTCCTGGCAGTGACCAGTGCTCCTGGAGCCCCAGGGCTTGGGTGTCACCAGCAGGTGTCAGTGGTGTCCTGGCAAAGCTCTGCTGAGGAGCTGGAAAGGATGAAGCCACCAGGGATGGATCCGGGGGCTACTGGGGGCCCTGATGGGCAACAGCTCCGTGGTGGGATTTATCATGGAATGGGCTGGAGGGATCTTGAAGACCATCCAGATCACCCCCTGCATGGGCAGGGACACCTCCCACCAGCCCAGGCTGCTCCAAGCCCCAGCCAACCTGCCCTTCAACACCCCCAGGGATGGGGCAGCCACAGCTTCCCTGGCCCAGGCTCTCCCCACCCTCCCAGCCAACAAGTTCCTCCTCAGCTCCAACCTCCAGCTCCCCACTGCCAAGCAAACGCCACCTCTGGTTCCTGGGATCTTCTGCTGGGAGAGGAGGAGATGGTTTTTTCCCAAAAAAACACCCATCTGAGGTTTTTTCCTGGTGCTGGTTTTCAGCAGCTGCCCAAGAGGCTCCAGTGAGGAGGAGTTAATGGGAAGGATGGTGCCAACCAGCCCTGCCAAAGGCTGGTGGGGACGTTGGGATGGTGAGGGACATCAGGATGTGAGGGACGTTGGGGTGCCCTGGGAGATGCTGCTTCACTGCTTCCATCTCTTCCCAGTACCTTGGAAGCACCTTCTTAAATGAGGAGCACAAAACTGGGCTTCCCAAAGTCAGCATTCCCAAGATCCAGCCCATGGTCCTGCTCGTGGTGTCCTCCAGAGCCAGGAGAATGAAGCCACCTCCTTGATATGGGGCCCAAGATGTTGCCACCACCTTTTGAGAAACGCTGAGGGGTTAAAGTCCCTTCAGCAAAGGGATGAAATTTGCTTCCAAATCCTGGTTTTCCATGAAACATCTTCTAGGAGGAGGCAGCACATGGAGAATCCACAGGAGAGGAGGTGGGGAAGGATGAACTTTAGCATTCCAGAAGGTCCCTCAGCCCCACGCTGGGCTCTTCTCCTGCAGCCAGGAGGGAATTTCACAACCCAGAGTCAGGGAGGAGGGAATGAAGAGGAGTTCCTGGCAGTGACCAGTGCTCCTGGAGCCCCAGGGCTTGGGTGTCACCAGCAGGTGTCAGTGGTGTCCAGGCAAAGCTCTGCTGAGGAGCTGGAAAGGATGAAGCCACCAGGGATGGATCCGGGGGCTACTGGGGGCCCTGATGGGCAACAGCTCCGTGGTGGGATTTATCATGGAATGGGTTGGAGGGATCTTGAAGACCATCCAGATCACCCCCTGCATGGGCAGGGACACCTCCCACCAGCCCAGGCTGCTCCAGCTCCAGCCAACCTGCCCTTCAACACCCCCAGGGATGGGGCAGCCACAGCTTCCCTGGCCCAGGCTCTCCCCACCCTCCCAGCCAACAAGTTCCTCCTCAGCTCCAACCTCCAGCTCCCCACTGCCAGTTTCAAGCCCTTCCCCCTCAGCCCATCCCTCCTGCCCTTGTCCCAAGTCCCTCCCCAGCTTTCCTGGAGCCCCTTCAGGCACTGGAAGCTGCTCTCAGGTCTCCCTGGAGCCTTCTCCTCTCCAGGCTGGACACCCCAACTCTCCCAGCCTGGCTCCAGAGCTGCTCCAGCCCTCCCAGCATCTCTGGGGCCTCCTCTAGACTCTCTCCAGAAGCTCCATCTCCTTTTTCACAGCTGCCATGATCCAAGTCTGGGCCATGATCCACCTCTGAGCTTCCCTCAGGGAAAGGCACAGCTTCGGTGTCACTGCTCCGGGCTGTGGTGGCATCAACTGGAGCTTCACTCTTCCAAGCAGGAGCCAAGATGGAACCTTGAAATGAAAGGAGGTTGCTCTGCTCCCCCAGATCCCTGGGATCCAGATTTCCTGGGCTAAGGTGGTGCTGGCCAAGCCCTTTGCCATCGAGGACTGAGAAGATCAAAGCAGAAGCCAGGAAGTTTGTCATCAAGGAACCTGACTCATCTGCTTGTCTCCAGTCACATCAGGGCTTGGTTTGTCC